AGAGGGTATGCACTATAACATAATAAAGGCCATATACCACAAACCCACAGCTAACATCATACTCAATGGCAAAAAGCTGAAAGCTTTCCTCTGAGATTGGAACAAGACAAGAATGTCCACTCTCACTACTATCATTGAACATAGTACTGGAGGTCTTAGACACGGCAATCAGAGAAGATGAAAAGATAAAAGGCATCCAAGTTGGTAGGGAAGAATTAAACTGTCACTATTGCAGATGATATGTAGAAAACCCTAAAGCTTCCACCAAAAAATTATTAGAACTAATAACTGGATTCAGCAACATTGCATGATAGAAAATTAATGCACAGAAGTCTGTTGTGTTCCTATATTCTAACAATGAACTAGCAAAAACAGAAATCAGGGAAACAATTCATTTACAATTGCATCAAAAAGAGTAAAACACCTAGGAATAAACCTAACCAGGGAGGCGAAAGACCTGTACTCTGAAAACTCTAAGACACTTATGAGAGAAACAAAAGAAGACACAAATAAATGAAAATCTATCCTGTGCTCATGGACAGGAAGAATTAATATTGTCAAAATGTCTATCATGCCTAAAGCAATTTACAGATTCAATGCAATTCCTATCAAAATACTAATGGAATTTTCATTGAAGTAGAACAAATAATCCTAAAATTTATATGGAACCTTAGAACTCCAAATAGCCAAAGCAATCCTGAGAAAGAATAAAGCTGGGATATTACACTCGCTGAGTTCAATCTATACACAAAGTTAGCTTGATTAAAATAGTATGATACTGGCATGAGAACAGACCCATAGATGAATGGAACAGAACAGAGAGCACAGAAATAAACCTATGCACATATGGTCTATTAATATATGGCAAAGGAGTCATGAGTATACAATGGGGAAAAGACAATCTCTTCAACAAAAGATGTTGGGAAAACTGGACAGCTACATTTAAGAGATTGTAACTCCATCACTGTCTTACACCCAAAAGTAAACTTTAACTGGGTTAAAGACCTAAATGTAGGACATGAAACTACAAAACTGTTAGAAGAAAACATAGGCAAGAATCTAATGAACATCAGGATGAGAAATTTCTTTATAGATACATCTACCCAAGCAAGGGAAAAGAAAGCAAAAATCAAAGGATGGAACTACTTCAAACTAAAATCTGCAGAGCAAAGGAAACCATTAACAAAACAAAAGGGCAACCTACCATATAGAAGAATATATTTGCAAATCATAAGGGGCTAATGCCCAAAATATATAAAGGACTCATACAACTCAGCACCAAAAAAACCCCCTAAATAATCCAATTAAAAAATGGGCAGAGGACATGAAGAGATAATTTTCTAAATAAATCATACAGATGGACCGCAGACACATAAAAAGATGCTCAATGTCACTAATCATCAGGGAAACGCAAATCAAAACCACAATGAGACATCATCTCACACCAGTCAAAATAGTACTCTCCAAAAGACAAATAACAAGTATTGGCAAGGATGTGGCAAAAAAGGGAACACTCCTACACTGTTGGTGGGGATGTAAATTGGCTCAGCCACTGGCGGTTCCTTAAAAAACTAAAAACAGTAATCATATGACCCAGTAATTCCACTTAAGGGAATTTACCTGAAGAAAACAAAATCAGTAATTAGAAAAGATCTATTCACAACTATGTTTATCACCATATTATTTACAATAGCCAAGATATAGAAGCAACCCAAGTGCCCATCAATAGGTGACTGGATAAAGAAGATGTGGAACATACACAATGGAATATTACTCAGCCATAAGAAGGAAATCTTGCCATTTGTGACAACATGGACCTAGAAGGTATGCTTATTGAAATAAGCCGGTCAGAGGAGACAAATGCCATATGATTTCACTTATATGTGGATCATAAAATACAAAACAAACAAATAAGAAACAGACACACAAATACAGACAACAGACTGTTGGTTATCATAGGGAAGGGGTTGAGGGATTGGTAAATAGGGGAAGGAGGTAAAAGGCTAAGGGGTAAAAACGTACTAACTGCAAATTGTAAAATAGGTTAGACATAGGAATAGAAGTACAACATACAGAATATAACCAATAATATTGCCTGAGATTCTTACATAGAGAAATCTTAAAGTTGAAAAAGACAGCATTCTGAAACTAATCTGAGTTATGAATACTTTCTTCCTTTGCAATATCTGTGTGGCAATTGCATCCTGTAGAAATGTTCTCAACAAACCACCGGAGGTTCAGTCTGATTACCTAAGCTAGGCTATCAGTTTCCCAAGCAGGGAATAGGAAATCCACCCTAGTGAGTTCCGCTCTGAGCTCCAGTGATGGTAAGAACGGTTCAAGAACCAATCCACCCCCTTCTGAATCAATCAGGAAACCCGTAAAGAAAAGTTAAGCAATCTTAGTATTAAGTTCAAGTTCTGAAAAAATGGTGACAACCTTATTTTATATTGCAGATTTGTAAGCGAAAAGCTACCTTTAAAGTTTGCTTGCTTCCTCCCACCCGCAAGCATATGACTTCTTTTAAAGGAAATGTACTGGCTGTTCACTGTATTCCAGATTGACCCTGCGAAGAGCTAAAAAGCTTATTCTGCTTTTAGCCATCTTCTTTATGCTCAGAAAACAAATGATTTTAACAGGAGACTTTTTTTTCCAGAAATTAACTTTTATTTAAGAGCAAGTCCAATGAGAAATCTAAAAAGCTACATTAGTTAGTTATCTAATTAATACATAATAAATTAGTTCCAAGTTTAGCAGCTTAACACTACAATAAGCATCTATTCTCTCACATTGTTTCTGTGGGTGTGTTAGAAATTGGTGGGTGGCTTAACTGGCCCTTTCTGCCTCAGCCTCTGAGGTGGCTGCAATCATATAACAGGAGTCTCTTTGCACAACTCCGTCACTTGTGGTAAGGAAGATCATGCCTCAGGGAAATCATGCTGTCTTAAAAGAGGAAGTTTCTAATAATCTTGATTTATTGAAAGTCTTCAGGCTCCGATACTAATAACAGATTTGACTCCTAACCTAATGTGCCCATCACTGGAATATTTCTGAAAACAATTTTTCTAGACAGGATGTTCAGCTTCCCCAGTGAATGTTTTCAGGACATATGTATGCAAACTGCATGTTCACACTATATCTGTTCTCTTGCGGTGTATGAGAATAACGAATGAGCAACTGTGTAAGATTCCAGTCACCATAAACTAATGGATACTGCAGTTCAAACTAGGGCCTGAAGGTAGACGGGAAAATGCTGGAGATATTGGGCAAGTCACAAACACTTTGGCATTTTATTTCCTCAGTAGTAAACTGTGATTATGAAGATCCATAAAGTTATGATTTTGAAATGAAACAATGCATGTAAAGATCTTAGTGTTTTAGAAAACACACATTAAGTGCTCAATTTCTTGCTCTCTTTGGTATCTGATAACTAATACATTGTCTCACCAGTAAAAACTGAGACAAAGATCCCATTTTAACAGCTTTTTACAAAAATAGGACAAAAAACTTACAGATTACAGAACACCACCACCATCTTCATCACAGCTGACTGCAAATTGGAACTTCATTAACTCTCTTCAACTTGACGTGTCAGTACAGGGATGGAGTGGAAACTGAGACCATTTCCTAGGGAATAAAGGGTAATTCACTAGTGAGACATCATCTCACTAGTGAAGGCACCTGGGGATCATGCCTTCAGTTTGTTTCTTACTGGCCTCAAATTGAATGGCTGAATGGCATCAAGAACAAAACATTACATAGAATGACAGGAACACATGAATTTAGACAATTAAAAGCAATTTTGTGAGAAAAAAAACTACTGGAAATGAAAATAAAGTATTTTTAAATGTTCCAGGAAAAAAATTATTTGGTGCTTATAGCCTCTTTGCCCAGAGTCCTAGAAAACCACACCCCGACATGAGTGATGAATTGAGAGTTCTTGGAAAACAATCAGAGTACCATCATTGTGGATAATCTTAGTGTCAGGAAAATAGAAATGAGGAAATCATTAATATGTTTATGTTAACAGAAATAAATCTGCATCACAATTCTAGGTGTCAGTGCACTAGAAGACATAGGTCTCCTTTTACAGACGGTATGGACTGATCTGAGTAAGGAAAGCCCTCGCCTGCAGTTGGGGGCGTACCAGATTGTGCTATGGTCTAGTGGTTTTGCGTGCGAAGTGTGGGGACCTGTGATAGTGCTTGGCCTGAGCGGATTGTGCTGTCTCTTCAGCTCAAGCTATTGGAATTCACAGCATTGATAACTCTGTGGTTCTTGGCAAGCATGGCAGGGGTATTGCAGTCACTGTAAGGGTTCTTGGGCTCCAAAGTGGTGTTTCCAGGACTGGTCACTAGGGAGTAGGGCAGACAGTAGTGGTGGCTAGGGCCAGTGGTGTATTCACCCTCAGCTATGGAGGCCAACTGCTGGGACAAAGTAGTGGCCAAGGTCACTTGCAAAAACTTGTGTTAATGGGGCCAAAGCAGGTGACAAGGCAGGGCCAGCTATGGGGTCACTAACATTTGCAGTGACCCTGATTGTCACACAAAGTTGCATTTTCTTTTCCTTTGGCTTAACAAGACTGTTTTCTCTCATCTAGGAAGATTTGGGGATTTAATCAACATCTTCACCACCTCTTCTTCAACACCAAAAGTCCTTGTGTCTTTACAAAAATTTACATATACTGGATATTAAGAAAATTTTACTCATTGTTCACATTGTCTTTTGCCACCTTATACACAACTTACACAGCTCCGAGAACTTTGTAGGGCAGTTTGCCTCAAGCATAAAACTGCCTTTGAAAATAGAATATTCAAGAAAAGAGAAAGATGTGGGAATGTTTATTACATTTTTATTAGATGTAATGATTATCCTTTTAGGGCATTGCTACATTTTTTGTTTGAATGAAAACAAATTTAGAAATTCCACGTGACACACTGAACTAGACTGATGGAAATTTCTACTAACTGTTTTTGGGTGTCGCTTTCTCAATTTCCTTTTTTCTTTGCTTTATCTTCCTCAGTGAAGGAGAGAAAACCCTAGTCTGAAAAGACTTCTTTTGAGCTGTGTTTCGTATTGGGAATTTACTAATCTCACCAGAGTAAGTAATACTGATGTTCAGTCTCAAGTAGTTCTGAGCAGACATTCCTGCACCCATAGAAATATATCCTGGGGATGAAATATAGGAGGCTTCTGGTCCTCCCCACCCCTGGGCGGAAAGAGCATTAACACACTATGGGACAGGAAGAACCTCAAAGTAAACGTGAGTACTTTTTCTTCTTTCAGTTTTAAAGAGGCAGATATAATTATGGCTAAGATTGACAAATACAAATTGAGGGTGGTTGTAGTTGTGGGGATGGAAGATGAGGATGACTTTGGTGAGGAGGACAGCCACAGATAGATTTACTATGTTAGGTAACAGAAAATGCTTTATAAAATGAAAGTTGGGCCAAGAGAGAAGATAAAGTGTTTGAAAGAAAACATGCTTATCAAGACTCATAGTGTACCTGAGGCTCTGACTTTTACCCCACTTTATGTTTTACTTAAGTGACACAAAAGGATTTGTACTAAGAGAATATTAAATAATATTTTTGAGAAATATATAGAATTAGTGCAGAAGTATATAATTTTAAAATTAATGTTTGCTTCATCTCATCACCCCACCATGGCCAACCTAAGTACAACCGCAAAGTACAATGATCTTGAAAAACAAGTCTTTATATAACAATATGTCCTGGAAATTTTTTCTCTTCAGACATACTGATATACAGGATTTAATATACATGATTATTTTAATTGGCAGATAGAATTCCATTGCATAGATTCACCAAAATTTAGAATCTCTACTGTTGATAGTATACATGCAAGTATTAGGTTCTAGTGTTTTTCTATTTCCAAAAGTACTACAATGAATATCGTCTTATGTAAATAAGTTCACTTATTTCTATAAGATAGATCTCTAGAATTGACCTTATTGTAGCACATGTAATGCATTTAAAAACCGATAAATGTTGCTAACTTGATCTGTCTCATGGGGCTTCTAATTTACAGTTCAAAAATAGCATTTATTTCCTCACCAAAAGTGTTTATTCTCCCTCAGCCTTACCAACTCTGCATATTTTCAATTTACTTTTTAAAATATGATACGTGAAAAAATCATACCATAGTATTGTAGTTTACATTTCTTTGAGCATACCTTTTTTTGGTTTAAGGCCCATTTGTAATTTCAGCCAATTAAATTTTCAGCATATTTCCTACCCTACTTTTTGCTCAGTTTTTTAATACATTTTTGAAATTCTTTATACAGTCTGGATATTAATATTGTGACAAGATTTTTCTTTCATATGTTCCTTGTGTGTTACTTTTGTTTGTGTTATACAGAGGTTTTAATTTTAGGTACTTAAAATTATCATTTTTTTGTAATTTTTAGGTTTCATGTGTTGCTCATAAAAAGTCTTTACGAATTGAAAAAAAACAAAAAAAAATTGTTTACATTTTATTTATTTATCAGTAAGCCCTAAAATTAATTTGTTCAGAGGTAATCTTTAAGCTCTCCTCAGGGTCTAAAATATTTTTGGGTGATCTCCTATTTAACTTGCTAATTCCCTAGTTCTTGTGGCTGAGAAGAGGAAAACCTATTGAACTTCCTTTTTGTCCCACTAGGAGGCCAGCATTCCCACCTGACCCCTTGGGCCATTGTGATTGTTTTCATCTCACTTCTTGGTGCCTATTTTATTGCAAGTTGTTGGTGTAAGTGGAACTCTCCTTGAATTATTTTCCCAAACAACTTTCATAAAGTTCTAAATCTTTTGTTTTCTTAATTTTCCCCAACATATCAATCCATAACATTCTTCAAGTTCTTGGATTTAAAATTTAGAACTCACACTTGACTGTTTAGTCTTTATTCTTTGATGGTGCTGCTTTGTATCAAGGAATTAAAGATGGAATTTAGACCCTTTTCTATATATATGAAGGTTGGTGACTTAGTAAATCATCCATCATTTGGGACTGGAATTACAAAGGGCTGCGATTTATGAGTGAAGTGTAAACAGAAAAAAACAACCTTTGGATAGATTACAGTCTGGCTTTCAAAAGAACAGTTGGAAGACTTGTTCTTTCTGATATAAGAGATTGTATAAAGTTATTATAATTAAAGTAATGTAGTATAGGTGCTAGTAGAGACAAACAGATCTGAGGAAGAGAATAGAGAGCTTAGTTACAGAGCCTGCATAGAACTCTCATACATAAAAAATGCTCACATATAAAACAGAAGGGGATAGTTCAGGTATAGGGAAAGGACAGTTTTGTTCAATTAGTATGTAAAGAGCACTGATTATTCATATTTTAAAAATGAAATTGTTCTTCATTTATCATGCAGAAAAACCAACCCAGGGTGGGTTATTGGCCAAAATATGAAGAACAAACCAATAACGTTTTTTGGAAGAGATAAATGTAGTATATATTTGTGACTTTCAGATGGGGAATGATTTCTTAAATAAGCCACAAAATGTGGTAGCCCATAACAAGTTTATACTATATTAAAGTAAAAATTACTATATAACAAAAATTGAAACTCTTGAATAGGCACTGTAAAAAAAACATGTCTAATAAACCTAAAAAATGTCACCCTCATTAGTTTTCAGGGAAATGTAAATTCATCTCACAAGATATACTGCAAACATACCAGGATAGCAAAAACTAAGGAGTCTGGCACTACCGAATACTGATGACGTTATGGAGTAACTGACTTTTCAATGAATTGCTGCTGGTGAGGATATAAAGTAGTACAATCAGTTTGGAAAAGTTTGTCACAATCACAGATGGCGATATGCATATCCTATAACTAGCAATTCCGCTCCTAGGCATATGCCCTGCAGAAATGCATGCTTATCTGCCCTACGGTGTGAGATCAATGATGCTCAGAGCAGCAAAACTCACAATAGCCAAACACTGGAAACAATGTGAACATCCACCGGAAGGATAAATACACTTTAGTGCATTAAGACAATAGATCACTTTTAGCAATGGAAATGGATGAATTGTAGTTGCATGTAACAATATGGATACATTCCAGAAACAATGCTGAACTAAAGAACCAAAAGGATACATACTGTATGATTTCATTTTACATCAAGTTCAAAAGCAGGCAAATGTGACCTGTATGATTTAGGGCTATGTTATTAAGTGGTAAAGTTGTGAAGCAAAGTGCAAAATGATTACTTTAAAAGCCATGGCATGGGTATTTAACATAGAGGGAGCGTGTTGCATTTGGGAAGTGAAGACCCCCTGTGGTGTTAGCAATGTTGTGTTTCTTGAGCTAAGCAGTTCTTGCCTGGAGTGTTCACTTTGAATAATTTGATAAACTGTACATATGTGTTTTTCTCTTCTTTACATTTGGCTATATTTCAAAGTAGAAAATATTTGAAAGATAAATATATAAGGCTCATAAAGTTTTGCAGAACTATCCCAGTGTTCACCAACAATCTCTACCCTAACAGAAATTCTGGTAGAATAATCTGCTTAAACACATGCATGTAAAGATTTGCAAAACAACCCCATAAAGCACAAAATGGACACTATCATAATAGGAATATTAATTTTCAACAATTCCTTTCTACCAATTTGCCTGGAGCTGGAACAAATTAACTGCATAGGAAGAAAAGAGATTGTGAAAACCTTAACTGTTAGCATAGGAGAACGGTTAGAGCGGTTGGCCCCCATTTCCCTAATTAAGTGGTCATACAGGAAAAGGAAACTAACATTTTCCTCTTTGACAGTGACTCATCACACTTCTCTACGCTGTAAGAGAGGCAGGGGAGCCTTCAAGTTACCGGAACGCCACGCGAAGTTGACATGCATCAGAGAGAAAACAGAACTGAATGGTACGGAGAGCAGAGAGCATAAAAGAATCGCTTTCTTATTTCCATTGCTTTTCAAACTCATAATCTGATTGACAGTACATCAGTAGTAAACCAGGAGAGCTTAACGTAAGATGAGAATCTGGCACAAGAGGGAACATCAGTACGTTGAGATAGATTTACTTTTCATGACTCAAATCGGTTAAATAACAAGAATGTAACAACACATTTAGGGGCCACTTTTGGCATCCAAAACATAACATTAATTTAGTTCCTTTTTTTTAAATTCAGACATATCATAGGTACTGTTTCCCCCTAGAATACATATATTCCTAGAAAAACATATTTGTTGCAGTGTCTTTATCTCTTGTATTTTTCCGGAATTTGTAAAGTCCTATGTGGAAGAATGGGGAAACGTTTGAGAGTTTTAGCAGGTTTTTCGCCCGCTTCATGTAAAATGTCCTGCAAAAGGCTTTTTTATGGCAACACATTATGCAAGTAAAGATGTGTAGGGACATTGAAAATGATTATGTCTTCTGAGAGAATACCTTGTTTCTTAGAGTCATTATGTGATTCAGATACTTTTGTTTAGAAGATATTTAGAAGTGTAATTTTCCAGATTCCTTTTAAAAGGGGGAACAGAATGAACTTGGTAATCCTGGTATATTATTCCCATAAATGTTAACAGGATACTAGGTAGCAGAACAGTTATCCCATCTGTTACCGAAGAATGTTCCTTTGTAACTAATTTTCATTTCAATTTCCATGTAAGGGAGCACCTGGAATTGCTGTCCTGCTGGATGGAGGGCCTTCCAATCCAACTGCTATTTTCCTTTTCATGACAATAACACGTGGGCTGAGAGTGAAAGGAACTGTACAGGACTGGGAGCTCATCTGGCCTCCCTCAGCACAAAGGCTGAGCAGGTAGGCTGGGAAACTCACATCAGTATCTCTGCTGGTTTGAATCTCAGAGCCAGAGAGATGGCTCTGCTGTGCCTCTGTGCACCTATTCCACCTGCCTGGAAAATCTTTTCTTTCCTTCTCATTTTTAATTCAGGTGGTTAACCTCTTTGGGTCTTCCAAATTTGATTCATGATATTTCCTCCAGAAAACTACCCTCACCATGTACTTGAATTCATCTTGCCTATTCTAAGTTGGAGATACTTCACTGGCACTTGTGCACTGTATGGCCGTGGCACTTACTTCAGTGGACTGCAATTGTCTGTTCACTGTTCCACCTCTTCCAGTGACCCCTGCTCTGTAGACGGCTGGGGCCACGATTTACTCACCTTTGCACCTCAGTGTCCTGTGCAGTGCTAAACACCCTGGGTCCGTCTTGATAAATGTTTGGCGGGTAAGTGAATAAATGAATGGTTGATCCAAACCGAAATAGTTTCTCAGGATAAAGGACAGGAAACATAGTTCAGATGTATAGTGGTAATACTTTTTTTAAAAAAAATCTCAAGGTTAATTTAATTCTTTAAAAACTGAAGTTTATTTCCTCATGTAATATATTTCCATATGTTGCTAGCACATAGTATCATGACTCAGATGAGGTAAGAGCTCATCTGCTCTTTTCTTGGCTAGCCGGGTTTGCTGGAGGCTTTGCAATCTATAGGTTCTGATTCTTTGAATAAAGTGAAATTTAATGAAATACACAAGCAATTAAGAAGGCAATTTTAAAAATAAAACTTCCTAAAATTGGATCCTAGTAAGCATTATGCCAAGGGATCTGCCGGTATGACCTCATTCACTCTTCCCTGGAACTCTGTGGGTGTAGTGGAGTCGTACATCCTGGAGGTGAGAAGACTTTGGGTTGATGAGAGGAAAGCCCTTCCTAACATTACATGAGACTTGACAGAGGCAAGATTTGAGAACAGATCTGTCTGATGACAGTGCTTTTGTGCTTAATGAGTAATCTATTTGACCTCATTCCTATTTTCCTAACATAACAGCCATCACTCATGATAAATGCAAGTATACCTATAAAAATGTACCTTCTTTTTGCAGAACTTTATTTTGCAATTTTTGGACAGACAATTTCCATATTTCCTGGGGCTTATGGATGAAAACTCTGAAGGCCAGTGGTACTGGGTGGACAAGACACCATTTAACCCACGCACTGGGTGAGCATTTTGACTTGGGTGGAAGAGCTTTACAGGCAGAGGCGAGAAGAAGGTTGTAAGCAGGATTCATCTGGGGTGGGGTGACCCTGTAAAAGTGCTTACTCAGAACAGAGCACTGTGTGATGAGTGACCTTTTTACTAGTATCCTTCTTTGCTTTTATTGGATAGTGCAGCTCAGAATTTTTCACCAGGGCCATTTTCTCTGCATTGTCCCCTCCCCCCGAAGCCCCCCAACCCCCTATAACTTTCATAAAGTTCTAAATCTTTTGTTTTCTTAATTTTCCCCAACATATCAATCCATAACATTCTTCAAGTTCTTGGATTTAAAATTTAGAACTCACACTTGACTGTTTAGTCTTTATTCTTTGATGGTGCTGCTTTGTATCAAGGAATTAAAGGTGGAATTTAGACCCTTTTCTATATATATGAAGGTTGGTGACTTAGTAAATCATCCATCATTTGGGACTGGAATTACAAAGGGCTGCGATTTATGAGTGAAGTGTAAACAGAAAAAAACAACCTTTGGATAGATTACAGTCTGGCTTTCAAAAGAACAGTTGGAAGACTTGTTCTTTCTGATATAAGAGATTGTATAAAGTTATTATAATTAAAGTAATGTAGTATAGGTGCTAGTAGAGACAAACAGATCTGAGGAAGAGAATAGAGAGCTTAGTTACAGAGCCTGCATAGAACTCTCATACATAAAAAATGCTCACATATAAAACAGAAGGGGATAGTTCAGGTATAGGGAAAGGACAGTTTTGTTCAATTAGTATGTAAAGAGCACTGATTATTCATATTTTAAAAATGAAATTGTTCTTCATTTATCATGCAGAAAAACCAACCCAGGGTGGGTTATTGGCCAAAATATGAAGAACAAACCAATAACGTTTTTTGGAAGAGATAAATGTAGTATATATTTGTGACTTTCAGATGGGGAATGATTTCTTAAATAAGCCACAAAATGTGGTAGCCCATAACAAGTTTATACTATATTAAAGTAAAAATTACTATATAACAAAAATTGAAACTCTTGAATAGGCACTGTAAAAAAAACATGTCTAATAAACCTAAAAAATGTCACCCTCATTAGTTTTCAGGGAAATGTAAATTCATCTCACAAGATATACTGCAAACATACCAGGATAGCAAAAACTAAGGAGTCTGGCACTACCGAATACTGATGACGTTATGGAGTAACTGACTTTTCAATGAATTGCTGCTGGTGAGGATATAAAGTAGTACAATCAGTTTGGAAAAGTTTGTCACAATCACAGATGGCGATATGCATATCCTATAACTAGCAATTCCGCTCCTAGGCATATGCCCTGCAGAAATGCATGCTTATCTGCCCTACGGTGTGAGATCAATGATGCTCAGAGCAGCAAAACTCACAATAGCCAAACACTGGAAACAATGTGAACATCCACCGGAAGGATAAATACACTTTAGTGCATTAAGACAATAGATCACTTTTAGCAATGGAAATGGATGAATTGTAGTTGCATGTAACAATATGGATACATTCCAGAAACAATGCTGAACTAAAGAACCAAAAGGATACATACTGTATGATTTCATTTTACATCAAGTTCAAAAGCAGGCAAATGTGACCTGTATGATTTAGGGCTATGTTATTAAGTGGTAAAGTTGTGAAGCAAAGTGCAAAATGATTACTTTAAAAGCCATGGCATGGGTATTTAACATAGAGGGAGCGTGTTGCATTTGGGAAGTGAAGACCCCCTGTGGTGTTAGCAATGTTGTGTTTCTTGAGCTAAGCAGTTCTTGCCTGGAGTGTTCACTTTGAATAATTTGATAAACTGTACATATGTGTTTTTCTCTTCTTTACATTTGGCTATATTTCAAAGTAGAAAATATTTGAAAGATAAATATATAAGGCTCATAAAGTTTTGCAGAACTATCCCAGTGTTCACCAACAATCTCTACCCTAACAGAAATTCTGGTAGAATAATCTGCTTAAACACATGCATGTAAAGATTTGCAAAACAACCCCATAAAGCACAAAATGGACACTATCATAATAGGAATATTAATTTTCAACAATTCCTTTCTACCAATTTGCCTGGAGCTGGAACAAATTAACTGCATAGGAAGAAAAGAGATTGTGAAAACCTTAACTGTTAGCATAGGAGAACGGTTAGAGCGGTTGGCCCCCATTTCCCTAATTAAGTGGTCATACAGGAAAAGGAAACTAACATTTTCCTCTTTGACAGTGACTCATCACACTTCTCTACGCTGTAAGAGAGGCAGGGGAGCCTTCAAGTTACCGGAACGCCACGCGAAGTTGACATGCATCAGAGAGAAAACAGAACTGAATGGTACGGAGAGCAGAGAGCATAAAAGAATCGCTTTCTTATTTCCATTGCTTTTCAAACTCATAATCTGATTGACAGTACATCAGTAGTAAACCAGGAGAGCTTAACGTAAGATGAGAATCTGGCACAAGAGGGAACATCAGTACGTTGAGATAGATTTACTTTTCATGACTCAAATCGGTTAAATAACAAGAATGTAACAACACATTTAGGGGCCACTTTTGGCATCCAAAACATAACATTAATTTAGTTCCTTTTTTTTAAATTCAGACATATCATAGGTACTGTTTCCCCCTAGAATACATATATTCCTAGAAAAACATATTTGTTGCAGTGTCTTTATCTCTTGTATTTTTCCGGAATTTGTAAAGTCCTATGTGGAAGAATGGGGAAACGTTTGAGAGTTTTAGCAGGTTTTTCGCCCGCTTCATGTAAAATGTCCTGCAAAAGGCTTTTTTATGGCAACACATTATGCAAGTAAAGATGTGTAGGGACATTGAAAATGATTATGTCTTCTGAGAGAATACCTTGTTTCTTAGAGTCATTATGTGATTCAGATACTTTTGTTTAGAAGATATTTAGAAGTGTAATTTTCCAGATTCCTTTTAAAAGGGGGAACAGAATGAACTTGGTAATCCTGGTATATTATTCCCATAAATGTTAACAGGATACTAGGTAGCAGAACAGTTATCCCATCTGTTACCGAAGAATGTTCCTTTGTAACTAATTTTCATTTCAATTTCCATGTAAGGGAGCACCTGGAATTGCTGTCCTGCTGGATGGAGGGCCTTCCAATCCAACTGCTATTTTCCTTTTCATGACAATAACACGTGGGCTGAGAGTGAAAGGAACTGTACAGGACTGGGAGCTCATCTGGCCTCCCTCAGCACAAAGGCTGAGCAGGTAGGCTGGGAAACTCACATCAGTATCTCTGCTGGTTTGAATCTCAGAGCCAGAGAGATGGCTCTGCTGTGCCTCTGTGCACCTATTCCACCTGCCTGGAAAATCTTTTCTTTCCTTCTCATTTTTAATTCAGGTGGTTAACCTCTTTGGGTCTTCCAAATTTGATTCATGATATTTCCTCCAGAAAACTACCCTCACCATGTACTTGAATTCATCTTGCCTATTCTAAGTTGGAGATACTTCACTGGCACTTGTGCACTGTATGGCCGTGGCACTTACTTCAGTGGACTGCAATTGTCTGTTCACTGTTCCACCTCTTCCAGTGACCCCTGCTCTGTAGACGGCTGGGGCCACGATTTACTCACCTTTGCACCTCAGTGTCCTGTGCAGTGCTAAACACCCTGGGTCCGTCTTGATAAATGTTTGGCGGGTAAGTGAATAAATGAATGGTTGATCCAAACCGAAATAGTTTCTCAGGATAAAGGACAGGAAACATAGTTCAGATGTATAGTGGTAATACTTTTTTTAAAAAAAATCTCAAGGTTAATTTAATTCTTTAAAAACTGAAGTTTATTTCCTCATGTAATATATTTCCATATGTTGCTAGCACATAGTATCATGACTCAGATGAGGTAAGAGCTCATCTGCTCTTTTCTTGGCTAGCCGGGTTTGCTGGAGGCTTTGCAATCTATAGGTTCTGATTCTTTGAATAAAGTGAAATTTAATGAAATACACAAGCAATTAAGAAGGCAATTTTAAAAATAAAACTTCCTAAAATTGGATCCTAGTAAGCATTATGCCAAGGGATCTGCCGGTATGACCTCATTCACTCTTCCCTGGAACTCTGTGGGTGTAGTGGAGTCGTACATCCTGGAGGTGAGAAGACTTTGGGTTGATGAGAGGAAAGCCCTTCCTAACATTACATGAGACTTGACAGAGGCAAGATTTGAGAACAGATCTGTCTGATGACAGTGCTTTTGTGCTTAATGAGTAATCTATTTGACCTCATTCCTATTTTCCTAACATAACAGCCATCACTCATGATAAATGCAAGTATACCTATAAAAATGTACCTTCTTTTTGCAGAACTTTATTTTGCAATTTTTGGACAGACAATTTCCATATTTCCTGGGGCTTATGGATGAAAACTCTGAAGGCCAGTGGTACTGGGTGGACAAGACACCATTTAACCCACGCACTGGGTGAGCATTTTGACTTGGGTGGAAGAGCTTTACAGGCAGAGGCGAGAAGAAGGTTGTAAGCAGGATTCATCTGGGGTGGGGTGACCCTGTAAAAGTGCTTACTCAGAACAGAGCACTGTGTGATGAGTGACCTTTTTACTAGTATCCTTCTTTGCTTTTATTGGATAGTGCAGCTCAGAATTTTTCACCAGGGCCATTTTCTCTGCATTGTCCCCTCCCCCCGAAGCCCCCCAACCCCCTACATACAATTTTTTGTTTTTTGTTTTTTCTCATTTCAGATTCTGGCATGAGAATGAACCCAACAACCATCAGATAGAAAACTGTGTTGTCCTTGCTAATGTTCAGGACAAATGGGCCTGGAATAATTTTCCCTGTGACTTTGAGGCAAGTAGGATTTGTAAGATACCTGGAACAGCATTCAGCTAGAGACCCACAGAAGGGTCCTAGGGAAGAGCGCAGAGAAGAAGAACAAGCCAGACCAGGGCAGGATGTCCGTGCATCGTTCTGGGTCATAGAACATTGCAGACCTGACAGCCTTATTTATTATATAGCTGAATACATTCATGATAATGTGTTTTTACATGGTGTTTTGGTGGAGGGACTGTGAGAATCAGTTTTCATTAACTTTGCTTTCTGGGTAGTATTTCACAGTATTTTCTTTTCTATTGGTGTGCATTGATCACACATCTACCAGAAAGTCTTCAATGATGTAATCTCTTAGTCATTTTTGCATCTGCTCAGATTCTTAGTTCTTAAAATTCAAACGTGGGGTATTTCAATTAATAGTGTGCTATATCATTTTTTAACCCAAATATCACACAACTTAAAGTTTTAAAATAGCTTTTTTGTTGTAGTTTGATGTCTCATTTTCAGAACTTTTAATAGTATCAGTTATTAGATTGACAGTCCATGAATGAATTCCTTTTTGAACAACAGTATATAGAATAGTTCTGAATTATTGTATTGCCCAGGTAGGGGAAAAAAAAGGCTATTTACCTTTCAAAAAATTTACTTTTTACTCCACCTTAAATGTTTTCCCGAAACATGGAGTCCCTAGCTGGCTTAATTTCTTTTTGAGTGGAAAAGGCCCTTTCAGGCCACCTTATCCTAACTCCTTCAATTCTATAACCAAGGAGACGAAACCCTGGGAAGCCAAAGGGCTCATCTTCACATTGTTAGTTCAAGACAAAAACAGGACTAAGGGACCAGATCACCTTTCATAAGAGGGGAAATGTATTCCCTTTGATGTTATAGGAAAGTCACTGGTGGTGACTTGGACGCTGGCCAACAGACAGAAAAAGGTTCTTAATTATTGAAAGTAACATTTTCCTAGTGTTTCTATATTTTAAATTTAAATCAGATAAAAAATCATATTTTCAACCCACTTAGGTAAATTGTTGCATGTTTCTATAGAGCTATAAAGCTATGGTTCAAGCCAGCATGGAAGTCCTTGTTTTCAGCAGAAATTATGTTTCTGGTGATGTATGTAGTACTAAATATGAAACAGTCATATCTCACATCAACAAAATCTGGTGGCCTTAAGATTCTCAGTTTGCAGATGATTCCAGGATCTAAGCTACAAAATTTCATGCAACAGCTTTTTAACCTAACTTCCTTACCACTGTTTTTAAAACCAGTATTTATTTTGTAAATTAGTGATTTTCTGAATTTAGAATATTAGTGTTTGCTTGATCATATGTGCGTGTGTGTGTGTGTGTGTGTGTGTGTGTGTGTGTGTGTGTCTGCATTTAAAGCTGATACTTTTAACTGAAGTAGAACTAGGTGACATTAGTTGTGTTGGCATACTCGCTAAATAATATAACACAAAATCTATAAAACTTGTTGAAATAACTTCATGTAAATACTAATAGGCTTTGTATAAATATTATTTTTTACATTTGTATACAACTGTGTGTGTGTATATATATAGGTAAAGGTTCAGTTGTCAATCAAATGTGACTTCTTTGTGATTGTGTACATCTATGTCAACATACGTATCTCTGATATTTCTCCCCACATGGATCATTTTCCATTATGTCCATAGCTACCAGCACAGACCAAGCCACCAGCTCTTTTACCTAGATTATTGCCCTGCCTTCTGACTGGTCTTTCTGTTTCTACCCTTAGACCTTTTTAGCCTTTCTTCAATTCTCATGACACCTCTCCTATTCTTCACAGTTTCTTTAAGACAGCTTATAGTAATTTCATAAAAATAAATGCTAATTTTTTTTGGTAGACTGCGGCAGTCCTAGAAATTTGAAACACTTAAAAATCTTAAATACTGTTCTTATCTCTGGTATTTGTGTTAAAAAAGCAAATAGTAAAAACATTAATAAAAGTATAAGATAAATCTCTTTTCTACCCTGAACTCCAGTCCCTTAAATGTCTCTTCAGAGTAACTGTGATTATTAGTTTCTTATATGTATTTCCATATGTTTATATGCATTGTATAAGGATATATATACATATATAGCATACAGTTTTTTACACTAATAAAAACACTGTCTACATAGTCTTAAACAGCTTGCATTTTTTTACTTGACAGTGTAGTTGGAAATGTTTTACACCTTGCTCCTTACAAAGTAAATCATGTTTAGTTGTATTGGTAAATCATAATTTGAGATGACCTTAAACTGACAAAGTACTTTCTTTATGCAATAAAAATCAACAAAATAATGGCTGTAAAATGAACCATGAAAGCAATTCCAGTTTAGATCCCAAAGGGAAGACAGTTCCATGAGGATTTCTTTTCTCCATGAAAATATGGGACTTGTAGAATGCATTTGAAGGCGCTGAGAGGTGAAGTACAATTCTGGACAGTTAAGGAATGAATTGTTAACACATAGAAAACTAGATAAATATGAAAAATGATGCCAATATTAGGTATATGAAGAGCAAAATGTGTTTAAGAAAGTAGATGTACTCATGATACAGGGCATGACTTAGCTGTGAATAATATTTACATATTCAAATAAAGTCCTTGAAAATCTGAAATCTGGTGCGTATTTTATACTTCCCAGCTTATCTCAACTAGGACTAGAGTTCAATGCTCAATAGCTAAGGTACTGGATAGCTCTGTATGTGGACAGTATAAGTATGTACATAGAAGATACAAGTGAACCCATAGCCAAAGCGTGAAAAAAATAATGTGTGTGTGTGTGTGTGTGTGTGTGTGTGTGTGTGTGTCTGCATTTAAAGCTGATACTTTTAACTGAAGTAGAACTAGGTGACATTAGTTGTGTTGGCATACTCGCTAAATAATATAACACAAAATCTATAAAACTTGTTGAAATAACTTCATGTAAATACTAATAGGCTTTGTATAAATATTATTTTTTACATTTGTATACAACTGTGTGTGTGTATATATATAGGTAAAGGTTCAGTTGTCAATCAAATGTGACTTCTTTGTGATTGTGTACATCTATGTCAACATACGTATCTCTGATATTTCTCCCCACATGGATCATTTTCCATTATGTCCATAGCTACCAGCACAGACCAAGCCACCAGCTCTTTTACCTAGATTATTGCCCTGCCTTCTGACTGGTCTTTCTGTTTCTACCCTTAGACCTTTTTAGCCTTTCTTCAATTCTCATGACACCTCTCCTATTCTTCACAGTTTCTTTAAGACAGCTTATAGTAATTTCATAAAAATAAATGCTAATTTTTTTTGGTAGACTGCGGCAGTCCTAGAAATTTGAAACACTTAAAAATCTTAAATACTGTTCTTATCTCTGGTATTTGTGTTAAAAAAGCAAATAGTAAAAACATTAATAAAAGTATAAGATAAATCTCTTTTCTACCCTGAACTCCAGTCCCTTAAATGTCTCTTCAGAGTAACTGTGATTATTAGTTTCTTATATGTATTTCCATATGTTTATATGCATTGTATAAGGATATATATACATATATAGCATACAGTTTTTTACACTAATAAAAACACTGTCTACATAGTCTTAAACAGCTTGCATTTTTTTACTTGACAGTGTAGTTGGAAATGTTTTACACCTTGCTCCTTACAAAGTAAATCATGTTTAGTTGTATTGGTAAATCATAATTTGAGATGACCTTAAACTGACAAAGTACTTTCTTTATGCAATAAAAATCAACAAAATAATGGCTGTAAAATGAACCATGAAAGCAATTCCAGTTTAGATCCCAAAGGGAAGACAGTTCCATGAGGATTTCTTTTCTCCATGAAAATATGGGACTTGTAGAATGCATTTGAAGGCGCTGAGAGGTGAAGTACAATTCTGGACAGTTAAGGAATGAATTGTTAACACATAGAAAACTAGATAAATATGAAAAATGATGCCAATATTAGGTATATGAAGAGCAAAATGTGTTTAAGAAAGTAGATGTACTCATGATACAGGGCATGACTTAGCTGTGAATAATATTTACATATTCAAATAAAGTCCTTGAAAATCTGAAATCTGGTGCGTATTTTATACTTCCCAGCTTATCTCAACTAGGACTAGAGTTCAATGCTCAATAGCTAAGGTACTGGATAGCTCTGTATGTGGACAGTATAAGTATGTACATAGAAGATACAAGTGAACCCATAGCCAAAGCGTGAAAAAAATAACAGCAGAGCTCAGCTATGTTTTTGGATAAATCATCAACATACAAAAGTCAACAATATTTCCATGTAATACCTGCAAAATGTAGAAAATGTATTTTTATATAAAATATTACATTTACAATAACAACACAACTCTACAGTACCCAAGAATAAATGACCAAAATGTGCGAGTTTTATGGAAGAAAGGATAACTTGGTTGCAGGACCTGTAAACTAATTTGCTGGGGCTTGGCTGCGTGACTCCTCACTTGCGCTGGATTTTCCTGCCTCTCCTTTTACTTGGGCTAATACCCTATATGGCTCAACTCAGCTCACACTTTGGCAATATGGGCCATTCTGCCTCTCCACGAAGACCTCTTCCACCCCAGTCACTGCCAAGTCCACTGGACCCCTAACCCTTAAGCCCTTCCCACTTCCAACCCTTCCCCTTACACAGACTCACCTTATGCAAGCTCACTTCCTGTAGGGTAATCACACTCCCCTTCACACACCCTACCCCCCTCGCACACATGCACACACGTGTAAAAGCTACCTTGCTCTGCCCCGTCTGATGAATGATTTTAGGAATGGTATTATTAAAAAAGGAAAAAGAGGAAAGGGGATTGAGGAGAAGAGGACCTAGAAGAGCAAGAACAGTTTATGTGATTCTTAATTTTTCTTTATTTCAGAGGGATCTCTTAGGAAATAATTTTTTGTGGTAATCTATAAAGCCTACAGAATTAAGAATTCTGTAACTTCGTTTTAATTTTTCACTTGTTAAATTCAAAGTGAAATTCAATTTAATATTTTTAAAGTGTCACCTGTTGTGCTTCCTTTATAAATTGTGTGTGTGTGTGTGTGTGTGTGTGTATTTATTTATTTATTTTCCACCCCTTTGTCTTTCCATCCTTCCATTTAACTTTTGAAATCATAGGAAGTTTTCTTGAGTGATGTTCAACTAATGTTCATGATAATTATTTGTAACTTCAGTTTTGGATTTATTTTTCACTTTCACCCTTACACAGTTGTGCTCTTACAGTTTTGATAATAAATACATATCAACTTTACAAAATGTATTTGAGTGACTTTTCTTTAAAAAAATTAGGGTCTCAAATGGTATTTACATCTTATCAGTTGTTTATTTTGGAAATGCTGTCTTGCGAATACTCTTATTTATTGTAACTTTCTGGGTTTTCAGATACCTAAGTATTTGTATAAAATATTATATTTTAAAACGTTTTATATATATATATGTGTGTGTGTGTGTGTGTGTGTTTAAATATCACATTTTAAAACAGTTTCAGCTGGATGGTATATTTCCCAAACACAAATTTTCCAGATGAATAATTTAGGTTGTAATGATCTTTAACCACTAAACTCCTATTGTTTCTTTTTTTGCCAAACTTTAAAGACAAAGTTAATTGCTTAACTTAAATTATAAATACACTGTGAGATAATATACAGTAAGTTTCATATGTCTTTCAATATTGAAATAAAATTTAAAGTATTCAAATTATAGCCAATGCAGGGAAACAAAAGTAAACAAAAAAAATCCCCATATGTCCTGCAGTGTTTCTTCACTGACATTTATGATTTGAAATAGGGGAATTAGAAAGTTGAAGATATATTGATTGCCTTTCTTTTAGGTTGAATGACTTTTGGCTTAAAGGTTTATTGGTTTCAAAAGCACAAATTGTCACTTATGACCTTCGAAAAATAAACATTTGTAAGGAAAACTAATATGTTATATTCACCTGTTCAGTTGAATTTTCCCACTTAATGATTACACCATTAATTCCAACGTATGAGTTTTGAGGGTCTCTTTATGATGGTATGTGCAAGAAACATGTTTGTAACATGTTATTTACATATTCTTGAATAACCTTATAAGTATTGATAGACTATTATGCAGTAAGTAAACGGATAGGCTTGAGATAGGGAAGTGCCGAGCTACATGTTCTCTTAGAATAATTCGACGATTGGACTCTGGCCTAGCTGAACAGCAGATAACTGAGGTGAGATCCACTTACTTAGTCAATAGGAATAGAGAGAGAAGGGAGTTACTGGTGTGTGGGGGCCGGGTGGCAGTCTGTTCGGTGCTGAAAGGCTAGCACCGTCCTTCCCTCAGGAAGTACAGTAAAAGCTCCAGCCAGGAAACCCGGAACAGTCCTTTGACCAGGAAAACATTTCATGCCTTCAGGAAGTTTCTGAGTCATTGTTCAAGAGCACATAGTGAGAATATATACCTGGGCAGGGGGTAAAAACAGTAGGAAATCAAGAAGAGTAGACTGATATTTCAGGAGCCAGAAAAGGAATTGACACTGAGCCTGCATTGAGGTGATTGTTCAAACGCACTTTCCAAAATCCTTTTCTTTGCTGGACTCTGTGCTTGCTCAGAGGTCCCATGTCGTCACACAATTGCTCACAAGTAAGGTAAATATGCCAAAAGGCGCACATGCCTTTCTTCTCATAGCATTTGCTAGAGAATTGCTCAGTAAGTTCTCAGAAGTCCCGAGACTAATACAGAGAAAAGGGCACTTCGGTCAGTATCATGAATCACAACATTCAGAACTACGTCTTTGTATTTATACCAAAGCAGTAAACGCTTTTGAAATCCTTGTGAAGCATTAGGCACACTTTTCTTGTGCTGGACTTCTGACTATGTTCAGGCTGTTACTCCTCTTCATTTATACATTTAAGTTGTGCCTTGTGTTCTTAGAGATTTTTCTTTATTAAAAATATTTACTTCTGGTATTTCGCAAATCCGGTACATATTGAAGAAACAGGGCACATCATTCCAACTTCGTCTTGGATTTGAAGAGTCTCTAATGGTGGCGCAGTCCTCCACTGTGACTATGTTGTTGGGCTCCCCGACATCCCAGAAGCTGGAAGAGAGCCACACAGTATATTTTAAATCCCAGCTACAAGAGGTGATTTAATTTAATATGCTAGGCAAAATACATTTGCGTGTTTTAACTTCACCGCGATTTGGTGAGATAAAATTAAATAAAATAAGAAAATGAAAATTTAAAAATCCATTTTATTAATGAAGAAAAGGAATCTCAGAAAAGCTAAACCATTTGTGTAAATCACAGAGTTTATGAAGTGAAACTGAACTGGGTATTTCTGACTTTCTACTGTCATGCTCCTTCATGGCTTTAGACCCAGAATGGGAAGTTATAGGAATTGACGCCCTGATGGATTTGTTTCCTCTGCACCCATATTTCATATTATGTTTGATTCTCTTTATTCTACTGAGTTTCTATTCGTTTAGGTGCCTGCTTCAGTGGTGCTGCACTGCTGTAGTGAAAGAGGCTTTCTTAAGTACCAGAGCATCTAGGCTGTGCCCTTAGAACTGATTTAACCTTCCTGATCTTAAGTTTCTTCAAATGCTAAGTGAAGATGAAGAGTATAAATGTATATCAGAG